CCCCAAAACCCCAAAACCCCAAAACCCCATATCATAAAAATTGCATTGAAAGAGAAATTGCAAAGATAAAGCTATTATAACTTTAAAAATCAAACTTTTTGGTTTGAACTGTTCCATTTTTGGATTTACTGAACACAATCTTACTAGATGGCCACATCAGCATTATTTCTATCGTTGAAGGAATGTATTTTCTAAATAAATAATATAAAAATATGTGTATATCAGCAAAATACCAAAAACTTGCTCCTTATATTGTTTATTTCAACATATGTTCCAAACATATATTTCTTGTGATATAACTAACAAACCTTTCAATAATCTTTTGAACTTCTTTAGGGTTTAACCTCATCATTGCAAATACCACCTTCTTCAATTTCCTTCAAAACCCAGATTCAACCAACCCCAGTACAAACTCCACCACATTTGTACACAAATCTGCTCTATTCGCACTTCCACTATCTGAGAATTTCATCGACTCCAAATCCAGATTTACCCCTTCTGGTACTGACTGCAGAAGCCTTCTTCTTCTTGAGGAAGGCAGTGGATCTATATTCACCAGTCAGGAAGGAAGGCTACAATAAAATTTGGGGATTTGGAAGAAGGAGATTTTAAACTAAAGTTGGGAATTTTGGGTTTTACCTATTTTGAGTAAGGCAAATTTGAGTTGGGTGAGATGCTTGGTTGTGAGTAGGATTTTTAGGAATAATGAGGGAGAGAGATCGTTTGGATAAGCAAATTGAGGAGTTGAGTGAGCTTAGTGTTTGCAGGATTTTTGAAGTGAAGGAAGACCCGTTTAGTAGGTCACATCAAGGGATTGGCCTGTTGTGGGTCTTTTTGGGTTTTAGGAGGTCTGAGATTATTCTCAATTTATCCATGTTCTTTTGTTTCAAAATTATCCATCTAGTGCATTTATCAAATGAAGGATGCATTTTAGAATAATTAGCTTTCTTCCTATAAAATCAGAAAATTTTCAGGTTAAAAGCTAATTATAAACGTAATGATGCTAAATCTAGACATAAATATGTTGTGTGCAAAATGTGCCAACATAATGTTAGCTGTGCTAAAACCCCTGTATTGAGACTTACCGTGAAATTCTGTCTATGTAGTACTTAGCCAGGCGGTTCCCATTGAATGGATTCATGTATTCAAACCTCTCTTCAATATTTTTAACAAGGTTCTTCATCAGATAAGCTTCCTTTTTATGTATCTCTTGATCCATTTAAATAATATTTAAAATAAATTTTATTATTAATAATTGGGATACATTACGGGGTTTTGGGGTTTTGGGGTTTTGGGGTTTTGGGG